TCTCTCTCTCTCTCTCTCCACACACACACACACACACACACACACACACACACACACACACACATAGTGTCACACACACACACAGAGGAGGAACGGAAGAAAAGGACAAGAAACGCAGGGCTGTGACAAACAGTGTCGTCGGACTTTCACAGACTCCTCCGCAGGCTGAAGAGACCCATCTGCAACTGGGGTCAAGCTGGATTACCCCTTACAACAAAATTTCTTAGGGGGGAGAGAGAGCCAGTCAAGCCATGTAGCAGCTGGGTGACCGTGGCCATGCATCCGGGGAGGATAGTGGGGCAGTAGGGGGAAGGGGGGAGGAGGAGGAGGAGGAGGAGGAGGAGGTGGGAAAGAGCAGAGTACGAGGAGAGAGAGTAGAATACGTACTACGTACCATTCCCCGGTCAACCCATCTACCAGACCGTTGACCCGATCGCCGGTGACGACCCCCTCGTGCATAACCCTCTCTGCAACTTCCTGATCAATTGCTTCTAAGGCTGCCAGCGCATTACTCTGGATTTGGATTGGCCCGCGGTACTGCCCTTCCCCCCGGATTGCGCTGACATCCCTTTCGAAGACCTGGACGTCAATGCCTTTCTTCTTGGCTGCAAGGGCAAATACCAGGCCCCCGATCCCAGCTCCGACGACGAGCACGCGCAGAGGGCGCCACACTTCCTCCCCTGTAGAGGGGTCGAGAGACCGCACGACAGTCCGCAGGCTTGCGCCTGCTTGCGCCGCTGTGCGCGAGTGCGCCTCCGCTGTCTCCGCCCGATTGCTTGACGACGGCGCGGTGTCCGCGACCTGCGCGGAAGACTGGCGCACAGCTTCGGCGGTGGTCGCACTCGCCTCCGCGCGCGGGGAACAGGAACAGACGCGCGCTGACCTCCCCCGCCCCCTCCTCGCCGATGCGCAGTCCGACGACGTCGACGCCGGCGCTCGGAGCGCGCGGCGAAACAGAGACGACGCTCTCATCCGCGCTGTCAACCCCGCCGCCGACCAGCCTTTCACCTCGTGCTGACACGTGTACACCCCCGCCCCCTGCGTGCGCACTAATTGCTGACTGTGCGCACACGTCCCCCGCTTCCCTTCCCTGGTTATGCCGGTTACGGGTGGATGATCAATCACCAGTGTGTGCAATGGCAGGCGGCCGATCTTAGACGACGTAGAGCACCCAGCTTCACTGTGCGACCGTGTGACGGCAGCAGCCTGAGACGGCCCACTGTGGTGAGCGGCAATCGTCGATGTCGCCGCCGCTCTGAGCGTCGCACTACCCGACGCACACACAGCCGCCATATCCACCACTGAAATAATAATCACCTTCGACTTGAACCCGACTTGAACCTGAGGTCGCTCAACGATGTGTGTGAGGCCAACAACAAACTCCCCCCCCCCCCCCCCCCCCCCCCCCCCCCCCCCCCCTCCTCCTACTTGGCAGGCTAATGAATTTTGACTTCCCCTTTCACTTACTGGTATTTGGAGCTAACACTTCCTTCTTCTTCCGCCAGAGTCAATTATCCAGAGCTCTGTGGTCATCGACCAAAGCCTTCCCTCCGCTACGACAGTTGTTCTGGAAAGCGAAGTGAAAGGGACGTGATCATTCGACGAAAACGAAGTGAAAGTGATGTAACGAAAGCGACGTGGTCATTCGACGAAAACGAAATGATCATTCAGCGAAAGCGAAGTGAGAGCGAAGTGATCATTCAACGAAAGCGAAGTGAAAGCGAAGTGATCATTCAACGAAAGCGAAGTGATCATTCAACGAAAGCGAAGTGAAAGCGAAGTGAAATCGAACTGATCATTCAACGAAAGCGAAGTGACGAGAAAGATACTTTAAAAGCGAAGTGATCATTCAACGAAAACGAAGTGAAAGTGGAGTGATCATTCAACGAAAGCCAAGTGTAAGCGACGTGAGCATTCGACGAGAAGTGAAGCGAAGTAATCATTCAACGAAAGAAGTAATCATTCAACGAACGAATGATCACTTCACTGTGGAACCAGTGATATGTGATCATTCGACGAAAGCGACCCGATCATTCAAATGAATGAACGTGAAAGTGAACGTTCCGACAAGTCATTCTTTCTTGCACATTCAGCGAATGCATGGAATGATCGTAGCCGCAGAAGCAGTGAATCAACGATGTAAATTATCGCATATTCCCCACTCTTCCAGATACAATTCCTCAAAAAAAAAAAAAGTCTTTTTTTTTTTTTTTCCGGACTTGTCGTGGCCAACTAATGGAAGTTACAGCAGTAAGCAAGGCGATCCTTCTCCTTGTTGTCCTCTCTCTCTCTCTCTCTCTCTCTCTCTCTCTCTCTCTCTCTCTCTCTCTCTCTCTCTCTCTCTCTCCCCTGCGCCTCCCTAACAGGGCAAATTTCCCGCTAGCCTCGGGATTGTACTAACAAAACGTATTCATCCTCCCTTCAGAACAGTCTCTCTATCAGCTCTCTAGAGCTCTCAAGGAGCTCCTTCTCCTTTTTGTCCTCTCTCTCTCTCTCTCTCTCTCTCTCTCTCTCTCTCTCTCGCTCGCTCGCTCGCTCGCTCGCTCGTTCGCTCTCTCTCTATCTATCTATCTTTCTCTCTCTCTCCCCTGCGCCTCCGTTCTGGTCCTCGTGCTCACGGAATCAAAAGCCGCACGTCGTCGCACACCTCAGCATGTCATGCCAGGAAGTATGTATTCTCCTCCAGTCCTCCTGCTCATCGATCGAATCAAAAAACAAGCCGCACGCACTCCTGAGCACGTCGTCCCACACCTCAACACGTCGTGCACGTGACAAGCACGGTGGGTGCCACGTGGCACAAAACGACAAGGGCTTCCGTGGCACAAGACGACAAGGGCTTCCGTTAATTTCGCACCCGCCGCCCGTGCCCACTTCCTTCTGCACCGACGGAACTCCTCCCCCTTCCGCGCGCAAACAGGCGGCTGCTGCGCTTGCGCTTGCGCTTGTCGACCGGGCCTTCCAAATTCCAATTCCGATCAGACTTGCGCACTGCCCCGACGTCCTAAATCAGCCGCACAGCGTCGCACACTTGCCCCCTCCTGCTCACAAACCCTCAAGCATCACACCAAGATCGCCAAAAATGTTTTCTTTTTTTCTTTAATCGCCAAAAATATTTATTTTTTTTAACACCAAAAAGCATAGCCAAAGTAGCAGTTTTCCACTTACGCAGGTGCTTCCAGATGTCACCACACACACACACACACACACACAAGAGAGTCACACACACACACACAGAGACAGGCAGACAGACAGACCGACAGACAAACAAACACGAGGGGCTCAAACTTCGTTCTGCACCCCCCTCCCCCCCACCCTCCCCCCCCTCCCTCCCCCTTCTCCCCTTCCTCCCCTGCTCGTTCCAGCTGTGCGAGAGCGAGCGAGCGAGCGAGCGAGCGAGCGAGCGAGAGAGAGAGAGAGAGAGAGAGAGAGAGAGAGAGAGAGAGAGAGAGAGAGAGAGAAGACCGGTTGGTTTTGACGATCGCCTGCTAGTTTTGCAAGTTAGGGAATGTTCCCATACATGGCGGGGTGGTCTAAGCGATGACCGACCGGCTGGCTGGCTGGTTCCAAGCAGGGCTTGCCAGTTTCAAAAGAAGGCCGGCCGGCTGACTGGCTGGCTAGCTGACTGACTGGGTAGTCGTTAATACTGTACGTTATTTTGCACGCTCTTCATCACCCTTCCAATGCTGGCTGGTTGGCTGGCTGGCTGGCTGGCTGGCTGGCTGGCTGGCTGACTGCTTGCTACTAGTTTGCGTGCTGTTCGTCACCTTACGGCGTCTCCGCGTCAGTCCTCTACAGCCCAAGGATTACTTAGCTGGCTGTCGCACGCGCTGAGAGTCTTAGCGGCTGATCGTCGCACACTAAGGGCAGACTCACAGTACGACTTTTTCTACTAAGCTCTGGACGTGATTGCGGTCAGATTCATCCAGGTCTGCCGTAACTCCGTTCAGATACATATAGAAAACTCCTACTGTAGTGTGAGTATGCCCTGACAGGTAGCTGCTCCTGATTGTCGCACACTGATTCTTAGCTGCTGCCGATTGTCGCGCGCTGATACTCTTTTAGATGCTGCCTGTCGCACACTGGTACTCTTCTAGCTCCTGACTGTCGCACGATAAGCAAGCCCGTCATCCGGATAGAGTCCATTCGAGGGGGAGTAGGTCACAAAAAAACAGCAGCTAACACTTTGTCACACAGTGTCACGACGTGGGACAGTCACGTCCATGAGGACAGAGTCCAGACAAATAATTAGTAAACTAACAATTCAAGACTTCGAATCCAAATTGACATCAGATGGAACCAAACCATGAGCTCGTAAATCCAAATTACAAACATACTTTAATAATACATATACATAATATATATATCGTCATATATAGAAACAGAACTGCCCGGTAAACCGTAGGCAGAGAGAGAGAAGAGGACAACAAACGAGGGGCTGTGACAAACTGTTTCGTCGGAGTTTCGCCGACTCATCAGGAGGCTGATACATATATATATATATATATATAATCGCTAGTCTATTACCACGAAAGCCAACGAGTGCAAACTGACCCGTCCCAGCAGGTGCTTGCGCACAGTTGGAATGACCAGGAGAGGAAGGGGAGAAAGGGGGGGGGGGGGGGGGGGGGGGGGGGGGGGGGGGGGGGGGGGGGGGGGGGGGGGGGGGGGGGGGGGGGGGGGGGGGGGGGGGAGGGGGGGGAAGAATACTTGCCCAGTACTAGAATTCTAGTGCGACACTAACCTCTTTTTGCCTTACATTCTTTAGATCGACGGCTTGGATCCGATGATGTAGAGGCGTGCCATCCTAGTCCGTAGTGGCACGAAGGCCGACAGTAGCTCCAGCCACCTCTTCTCCTCGTCGTAATTCTCTCTCCTTCCCACCATCACCTACTGCTCCCCCCCTTGCCACCTACGCCAACCTACGCCAACCTATTCTCCTCTTCTCCCTCTCCTCCACGCCACGCTAACCTGAGCCCCCTTCCTTTCTCCTCTTTCCTCACCTCCTCTTCTCTACTACCCTACTCTCCCACCTTCGTCGCTCTACGCTGATAAGCCGACTCCCTTCTTCTCGGCAATTCCAGTCGTCCCATTCCTAAGCGCATACTCACACCAGGACTTCTTTCTCCTAAGCTCTGGAGGTGATTGCGGTCAGATTCATTCAGGTTTGACCGTAATGCAGTCACATACAAAAGTGCCCGTGTGAGTATATTCCGTAAGTTATCTCCCACTTCCGTCCTCCTCAGAAATCAGGACGACGATGGAAAAAACCGAAACAACAAAAGCTCTGCCAGCAATTTTTTTATTTTTTTTCCCTTGCGCAGGGGCCATGCTAATCTTCTCTGTATCGTTCCAATTTTAACGGATGTCTGCCAGCAATTTTGAGAGAAGGGCAGGGCGGGGGGGAACTCTCCCCGCGCAAAAAAAGAACGAAACAAAGCTCTTTACACGTGCCTGGAATATCAAAGCCGCTTGGGCCCGCGAGTGATTTGAAACTCCGACGAAACAGTTTGTCACAGCCCCTCGTTTGTTGTCCTCTTCTCTCTCTCTGCCTACGGTTTACCGGGCAGTTCTGTTTGTGACAATATATATATATATCATTTGTTGTCCTCTTCTCCCTCTCTGCCTACGGTTTACCGGGCAGTTCTATTTGACGATATATATGACGATATATATATATCGTCACAAACAGAACTGCCCGGTAAACCGTAGGCAGAGAGAGAGAAGAGGACAACAAACGACGATATATATATATATATATTCTCTCTAGTCGGTGAAACTCCGACGAAACAGTTTGTCACAGCCCCTCGTTTGTTGTCCTCTTCTCCCTCTCTGCCTACGGTTTACCGGGCAGTTCTATTTGACGATATATATATATATTCTCTCTCTCTGCCTACGGTTT